CAAGTTTAACTGCTTGTATGTTTGCCTAGCATGATTTACAGAGAGATTTGGTCTTGCTCAGTAGCATATGCACGCCCCGCCGCGGTGGTCTAGTGGCTAAGGTACTCGGCTGCTGACCCGCAGGTCGCGGGTTCGATTCCCGGCTGCGGCGGCTGCATTTCCGATGGAGGCGGAAATGTTGTAGGCCCGTGTACTCAGATTTGGATGCACGTTAAAGAACCCCAGGTGGTCAAAATTTCCGGAGCCCTCCACTACGGCGTCTCTCATAATCAAATGGTGGTTTTGGGACGTTAAACCCCACAAATCAATCGGTGGCATATGCACTGCAATAAGATCAGTTCATGCACTTGCCAAGAGTGCTGTGTAGCGTCATAGTACCTTCTGTTCACGAGGATCATTTCGGGCTAGGTGCCGCTTTGTAGTGGAAGCACATCGTGAAGTGCACTTGACATTGTCCCAAACATGAAGACTACTAAATGTTGTGTGAATGCAGCGTTATAGTGACGTGGCAATAAAGGAACTTTTGCATCCTTGTTAAGTATCTAAGTGCAGCGCTGTTGTTTATCGGTTATGTGACGAGCTTTAAATATGCTTCCGATAATCTTTTATTGTACAGTCCTGCTCCCACTACTGAGAAATGTGTGTCTAGCAAATTCTGATACTTCGGTACTGTCTCTTAAAGGAACAAACAATGGATTGAAATCAAGGCTTTGACGGATGCCCGTCTTGTCGGGAAGAGTCCTTCAATAAAAAGAAATGGAATGACATGGAAGGGATTAAACTTGAGTCACCGTGCACAATTTTAACATTGCGTGAACTTTACGCAGACCCACTCGTGTGTTTATATTTGGGTTCAGTTGAAAGAATCAGGATGGTCGAAATTAATCCAAACTGATGTCGTATAATTTCATGCAAAACATTCTTTTCTTTTTTTACATTATCACTTTTGTGACATTATAGATTGATGGAAGAAGGAAACATTATTCGCTTGAACAAAAAAGTACTTTTGTCCTATCAAATAATCAGCACCTTTGTTAGATCACTTTCATGCAGATAATCAAAAACTGCGTGCTGAACTGTTAGCTTTTTATACTTTTGTGGGAGTAAAAACAAGCACACTAAAGCACTGTCATCCACATACCTTTCCTGAATAAACTCAACTGTCCTACATTAACTTCATGGAGAACTGAATAAGAAAAAATATGCATGCGTATTCATGGTTATTTAGGTTGTCGCCAAGAATATGGGATTTATTTATTTTTTTTCTCTTTTTTCGGTATCCAAGATCAGGATATATGAAACAAAGAACTAATCCAGTCACGCTACCATTCGATCAAAGTAGGTGGGACACAAGTTCAACACTTTCAAATAAATATACAAGAAACGTGACATAGTGTGAAGAGACAGACAGTCGCCAAGCACGAGCATTCCTTTCAATGCGCAGATTGCATTTTTGTCACAAGTAATAGTTACTTTCGAGCTTCGTGCATCTGTTTGACAATGGACAAGATACATATTACAAGTAGGCTGCAGTCAACGAAATTTATTTGTCGATATCAGTGCGCACTGCTCACAAAAAGGCACCGCTACATACATTTGCATGCGCTCTGCCGGCTGCCTATCCACGCTAATATGGTGCCGATGCGGCCACCTGTAGCCCGATCTCGGGGTGAATACTGATAGAATTAAACAGTATGTTTGCAGTTACAGTGGAGTGTTAATTTACTAACCCAGAAAGAAGTGTATTCTTACGTGCTATGTCCGTTGATGTGAGCTAGGAATGTTGCAAGTTGCCCTCCCTAGGCACTTGATCCCTAGAGTTTGTAAGGTGTATGCAAGAATACAAAATTCTATTTTGCTTTAATTTGTCACAAATGTGTAGTATATGTTATCAGAGCATTAAGGAAGTTGCAAGGCTTTCTCATTTAGTTTTTAACAAATAATGCGAAAATTGCCATGGACTGCCCAAGTGCACAGTGATTAGGGCAAACAAAAATGAATTTACCACATCACAGTTAGTGCGGCCTTATCTTGGAGGTTGTGCCCAGGCATTCTGATGTTTTTCAGAATTTAAAGTACTGCATCGTATCCTTCGAGCAGCAACACTGATGGATGTCATGTCATTATTAACTTGGCATCTTTTTTTGGCATTTTTTCATATGCGCAGTGTATAATGCTGAATGCATGCAGTATGGCTCTGTGTACTTGTAATTATTTACTAATTTAAAACACGAAACATGAAATTTAACCATTTGCACTTCAGCATTCTCATTTGGAGGCATGGCCTATTTTTGCTGTTTCTGTGTGCGCTCGGCAAGAAAGGGACCACAAACACTGACCTAATGGTAAATCCAGCATTATTGGTGCCTGAAGTTCCTTTGTCACTTCCAATTCAAAAATTTAAGATTAAGCTCGAGTGCCGTACCACACCGTACTTTAGAATCATATCATGGTTTTAGCACTTTAAACCCCAGAATCCCAGCTTATGTAAGAAATGTTTACATCAGGACCTCCCTGTTCAAATTGATTTCATGCATAAACACAGAAATGCTCTCGTTTTGCTCCTGCGTAACCAATTTAAATGAAATTTCTAACATGGATCTTTTTATGTTGCTACATATTTGAGTCGATACTTATTATTATCAAATTTTGAATCCAATCACTGTTGCTTTTTTTGTGAATAATATTCACCATGCGACATACCCAAGCCATTGTTAGTGCACCTTCATAGACTTGTGCTGGGATCTTACGCCCATTCTTAAAACAAACAAGCATTTTGTCCTACAAGCAGTCGGTCAAGGTCTGCACAAACATCCCCATTTGTGACATAAGCACTAGCTTTGACCATTTGTGGATGACAAATTTTTTATTTCAATTCCAGTTATTCAGAAACGAGTTGTTCGGGTTGATGGGACTAAAGACGGATTATCTTTGCCTTATTAAGGACCCTCCTTGGTGACATTTTCTCAGGAGCAGTGATGAAAACACCTTTTTTTTTTTTGTGACTATAGAACATGGCATGAAATAGTTGAAAGGCTGAAATAACATCTAATATCATGAACAGGCGTGTCAAAGGGTCACGCATTTGCACAATAATGCCGGCACAATAACCCGACCAGTAAGACTAGTGCAAGAAGAAAATTATAAAAAAATTTACAATACATTTGAAAATACAAAATGTTGGAAGCACTATAGTAGATGCAGCAATTTCTAGTAACGTGTAAATTCTACAGGATATAACAAGTACAAATATATCAAATCAATAAAAATTAATTTTTGAGGGCACACTGCTAGAGATTCAATACATTTTCTTTCTTTTCTAATTAATCTGAGAGCTCTATTCTTCAATAAGTTTGTGAATATAACTTGTGAATAAGTTTGCAGAAAAGGTAAGGTGTTTCATAAAACAGATACAAGAAATCAGTCTTAATCTCCTCCTAAAATAAGGTAAAAAATTAAGCTTAAAATTCTTCTGGTCAGTATCCTTGTTATCATCATGATCATTGAGGGAAAAAATATATATGTGGTTTGGGGATTCAACATCTCGTCTGTTGCATTGCATGGCTTGCTTTCAGCAATGTTTCGTGTATAATGTAGAATAAAAGAAAGATGGGTCTTGGGCATAGTGTGTTGCAAAGTGTAAGCAGGCCTCCTTAATGGTTTCTTAATGGTTCCTTAATTGTTTCCTTAACAAGCTACCCCAAGCACCGAGTTGTGCAATTCAAAGATGGGAGAACGCTTTGTCAGCTCTCGTTTGCACACTCCCAAGAGTGCATCTGCAGAGGTAATTAAGGATAACTTTGCCAAAGCAGATGCCGTTGGCACTGTAGGGTATTTATATACTTCCGCAAAAAATGTGTTACCGTTAGTACACGATCTTCAGAAGTACCTTTTAGGTGTGTTCTTCAGGCTATCGTGTTAACTATCATACTAACTTTAATGCTTTTGTATTTAAGAAAAAAATGTCAGTATAGTTTTGCATTGTACACTTTGAGTTTGGCCTGTATAGTTTCAAGCATATGCTCTAGTGCTTCTCTCAGCCAGAATCATCAAACGTCCCAGATGCTCGTAAAGGGTGCCTGAAAAACAGCTTTCTTTTTAATAAGGGTAAAATTGAAAAGCTGGTAAAGTTTATATTGGTTGAGTCTGGGCTCTGTACTAGCAAAAAAGATAAATGGGCAGTAGCAACATTTGGCTTATGAGTTTTTTCTTGATCATGGCTTTTCTTAATTAGTGCAATATTTTCACCTCTATCTCATATAACTTTATTTCTTTTCTTATTGTGTCTCACAATGTTATGTGCCGACTTCCATTTACAACAGTCAACTCAGTCCGCAAGAAAGCAGTTGAAAGTGGGCCATTGTCACAAATAACTCAATAAACTCATAGCAAAACTCTCAAGTTCATCAAGTACTGCTTGAACTGCTGTTATTTATGAATTGAATATGTCTTACGAACATGAATACTTAAAAATTTCCTGTGTTGGTCATAAGAATGGATGCTCATATAAACTCTAAATTAGTCTAATACTGCAACCTCAATGCACTCTGCAGTGTTGAAGCAGGAAAAAGATGAGCTACTTTATTATAAAATATTCTGTGAATTGGTTTATTAAGAGATATGCATGCACAAGTATCTCTCGCTTTTTTTTTTTCAAATAGTTTATGTAATGTATCAAATATAAGTTAAGTCTGATGGTGGTTCAGAAAAAGGCCAACACTAATACATTTTATTTTCTATCAATGCTTGCACAATCGGCACAGGTACTGAAGAGCAGGCAGATGCAATGAATTTGTAAGGCATTGAATTACGAAGTTGCATTTAAGTATCATATGCACCCTAATACCACATTGCAGCCCAAATGGGCCACATTGGGCAGCTTGAATAAGAGCAGCAGCCAAGCTGACTTACTTTTTCTTTTTTTTACACATTTCTATAATAGCTATTTCAACCTATGAATTCCTGTCTGACCATTATGATGTATCTTTTGCTATTTACAGCAACCTTCTTGGCGCCTTTGGGGTGAAGAGAAAAGTGATGGAGCAGTGTACACCGTTTATCTTAAGAAAGTGCGATACCACCCAAGTAGCTCCCTCAGTCGGCATGTGAGTGTTTTTTTTTTAATTTTTTTTACGAAATGATTCATATACCTTCACTTCACTGATATACCTTCACTCATTCAATATACCTTCACTCCATTACTTGCAGTGACTACAAATGTTGCTTGTTTATTCTAGTAACGTTGGTGACAACAGAGATAGGGCATCAGATTAGGCATGCGAAGGATGGCCACATAAAATTGCTACAACATTCGTGGCTGAAGGCTTCAACCTATACCTATTTCTTCTCTTTTTGTGGCTCTGCAACACCATCGTTCAGGGGTTAAATTATCAAGCAGACTCATCTAAAATATAAAACTTTATCCTACGCACTAGAGACCAACAGACTGCTTTTTGTCAGTGCAAGCTGGCGCTTAAGGGGGCGTTACAACACTTTTTGAGCATAATCAGAAAATGCTGCCGATCAGTAGTAGAGGCTCCTGACAGCATGAGAGCCAAATATTATAGCGCCGCACCCGACCTGGAATTCCCTACAAATTATCAGTCAGCTGAAAATTGCTTTCTCTTTCCTTGCCAAATGATGAAAGGGGCTCAAAATTCACTCGTAGAATGTCCATCTATCAGCCATTAGTTGATTTGAACATGGTGCGTTCGGTTGTTACGCGACTTGTGCGCGCAAGATCACACTGAAAAAATCGCACATTTGAAATAAAAAAAAAAAGAAACAAAGTGCTCAAGGACGCCAAGCGCGCTTGACATATTTTCGTTGCCCCTGACATCACTCATTGCTTAGCTTTCAGCGCTTTCGTCGGGACGACAGAAGAGAAAATGCAATTGCAGCATGCAGCAAATCTTTGTAACCCCGCTCGCACTGGACGAATTTCTCAAATTTTCCAGCGTTGAATTCGTGAGGCATTAAGCTCTTCAAGTGAATTTATTCCATGGTTACTTGAAAAAGTGTTTCAGGGCTCCTTTAACAAGAAGAAGCAACCTCGAGCCCTAATTGTAATTTCTTGATGCCGCATCATTTTCCATTTTTGTTACTATGTGGTTGCACATTTTCAGACAAAATAAAATTAAACTTCTACAGCCTGCTTGCATTGTGTGAAGTTACGTGAATAATTACTCTCTATAAGATTGACTGTCAAGAGTGGCTTACGCAGTAATATATGTCTCAATTAAGTTTGACTAAGTCCAATTTGCATAATTCTGCTATATCATACTTGAGTACATGGAGTGGGCTTAGTTCAATGTTGCATACAATAATCAGTTATAGTTTCAGTATTAATGCTAATTAGATTTTATCTGCCTTGATTAGACTGTGCTCGGTCAGGAATAATAAGCATCTTCCTGAGCTTAGGTTGCCCCGTCGCGGTAGTCTAGTGGCTAAGGCGCTCGGCTGCTGACCCGCAGGTCACGGGATCGAATCCCGGCTGCGGGGGCTGCATTTCTGATGGAGATGGAAATGGTGTAGGCCCATGTGCTCAGATTTGGGTGCACGTTAAAGAACCCCGAAGAGGTCAAACTTTCCGGAACCCTTCACTATGGCGTCTCTCATAATCATATCGTGGTTTTGGGATGTTAAACCCCTCATATTACATCTGAGCTTAGATTCTCTGAACTCTTGGATAATTTGACTTGAATTACTTTAATTATTTGGGTTTAATTAGATATTGTTTATTTAGATTTATATTTGCTTTGATTGATGAGGTGATAAAATGATCAACCATGCTTAATCAGATTCATCTATACTTTGACACCACCTAATATTTTAATTATCCATAATTAGTGTAATTTTATCACTTGCAACATCAGTATTTGGGCTGTTTGGTTGGATATCATACCAATTAATTAGGTATAAGTAGTACTTGTTATAAATAGCACAATTTATATTTAAATGAACATAATTAGTATAAAGTCGGGAAGGGGTAATTAGCATTTTTCTGGACTTGCTTCTCAAGGTCCAAGGGGAATTTGACTTGGATTATGTGGCCACGGTAAGCCGAAATATGGCTTATTACGCTCAGGTATAAAAGGAATACCATGATTAACTATGCCTAATTAGATTAGGCTATCCAAGCTTAAGTAGACTTAATATGGAAATAGCAAGCTAGGCTTTATTTGAATCAGCTTAGTTATGCCTACTTATGCCTGGTTTTATTAGGTGATTATGGTCAACTAGGTATGATTAGTATCGGTTACACTTACTTTGGCTGAACTTGGCTCATCTAAGTATAACTTGGCTTAACATGACAAAAGCCAGCTGGGCTTAAAAAGCTTTATTTGTATCCTAGGCTGCATTAGTGTATATGATGCTATCTATGCTTAGTTATACTCTAGTTGACAACTGTAAAAGTGACGCAAGCCCGGCGCTTGAACCGGCCCTGTTGCAGCCGCTATATATAAGAACCGCATAGATTCGATGGACCGAAGAAAGTGACACCCAGTTGTCATTTTGGCTACGAGGGCCGTAGCCCCGGAGTTTGTCACGTGATTCCCTGGACTGTGCACTTTTGCTCACGCCTGTACATGAACCGTTGTTAACTGTCAAAAGTTATCGCTACAACGTTACTTCAAGACACTCTGTATTCTATTGCAACAAGTATAGTGAGAAAATTTTTGAGCTTATGAGTGTTATGGAAATTCATCCCAATTAAGTTGTAATTAAATATCTCTTTATCCTGAAGTCATGGATGCTCACTTTTGGCATAAATAGAACAAAATCTCAGTCAAGGAATACAGTGCAAATAAATTTTTGGTTACGTTCATTTTGAGCGAAGAAAAATTTTTCTTTTCACATTGTTCACAGGAAGCGGCACGTTGCACGACTCGTTGAACGTGGTAGTAGTGCCTTCAGAAAAGAGATCATCAGTACACTGTAAAATTAAGTTAAATGAAGACAAAGGAATTGATACTCAAAGATATCGAGGCCAAAAAGTTCACGCTGGGGATATCTTTAGATATGTTGAAAGAATTCGATAAAATAAACCACAAGACACTATTAGGAAAATTGCAATGCTATGGAATTCGTGGTATAGCCCTAAATCTGATCGAAAGCTACCTTACAGACAGATACCAGTTTGCATCTAAAACAGGAAAATTTCGTCTGTGCAAACTGTTAAAGATGGTGTCCCCCAGGCAGCCTACTGGGTTCCTTTTTGTTCATCATATTTATAAATGATATTGTACATGTTAACCCTTCATCCCAATACATAATTTACGCAGACGACGCAAGCTTTTTTTTTTTTCGGTTACGAATGTTAGTCATCTCGTAAATACAGTTAACTCAACATTACAAAAATATACAGCTGGACCCTTAAAAATTCTTTACTTATAAATTGTTCTAAAACAAAACCTGTTCTTTTTTGCTCCAAATCCCCCTTAATGAAATCACTGAATCCTACAATCTCATGTTAAATAACAGCATAATTGAATTCTCTTCCACCGCCAAGTTTTTGGGTGTTGTTTTTCATGAACACATGAAATGGGATTATCATACAGAATTTTTACACAACAAGCTTTGCAAAGCCTTAGGTGTCTTGAGAAAATGTCAGGGTTTCTTGCCAGTTCCTCAAAAACTTCCGTTATTCAATGCACTTTTTACATCGCATTTGATTTGAGTTATTGCAACTTAATTTGGGGTAATGGAACAAAGCAATCTATTAGTAATCTTATTATCTTAGAGAAAAAAGTGCAACGTTCTGTTGCTAACCTCCCTTTTAATGCCCATACTTCACTCGCTAAATATAAAATAATCTAAGCAAACCTGGTCTACGAATATTCTTTAGTAATCTCTTTTAGATCTGATACCATAAAAGGTCGCAGCTATATAGGTAGTTTAGCTAACTTACAATTAAATCCTTCGATGCGTCTAAATCGACGCTCTGAACATTGCGCCTAAATCGACACTCGTACACTCTGAACAAATAAGCCAATGTCATAAAACCATAATTTATTTGTGCGTGGTTTCGGCGTGTGCCGAAACCGCGCACAACTTTTGGTTTTATGACATTGCGTTATTGCTTGCCGTATACACTGAATAAATTATAGTAATAAATATGCTTTATTAGTTTATGCGTGTAGTATTATTTTCTGTTTGTATACTTCTTTCTTTCGATGTATAGCATGTGCATTGCTAATTTGTATAGGTTTGCATAACTTTTTTGTTCAAAGGCAAAGCATGTGCATTGCTGGTTTTATCTGTCCTGTCGTTTACTGCACTTTTGCCGTTTTGTGGTCACAGTGACCATGGGGGATATGGGGCATTGTTAAGCTGTCTTTGTACAGCTTTTTTCCCCTGTTCCGGCCACTTACTGTACAACATTATGTGGTAAATAAACTCAACTTTATCCAAAGTATAATATATCTTGCTCTTTCTTAGCCTGTACTTGATGCAAATAGCAAAAACGAGTGGTGTACATAATTGTGTATGTAATGTCTTAAAGGGTTAAGAGCAGAATATGCCTATTTTATGTACACTCCCATTCATGTGAGAATACATTCTTTGTTGTGGTATTGCTATGAGTCTTTTTCTTTTGCGGATCTGTATTCCTCATACAGAGGGAGATAGTGAACCACTTCATCAGTGTAAGTAAGTGGGCAGCCCATAAATGACAGATAGGTTGATGAAGCACCTTGCTGTATTGGCATAAGTTTATTACTTTCAAAAATGTTTCTTGCTGTTGATAAGTAACCAGTGAACTGTTATTGCAACCACACTTTCAAACTCATGCAACTAGCCTTGTCAGATTACCACTTAGTTGCCTCAAGTATGTCTGCTTCTTCTGACCATAGTTTTGTTGGCTTAGCATGCTTGCAAAGAGTGCCTTCTCTTTTTGGCATGGCACCTACTAAAAAGGTATAAAGCCTGCCATGCCGTATCACGTGTCACTAGGGAACCTTTTTTTGTTGCTTTTGTGAGGTACCCTTCAATGCAAAAAATATAGCTAATCTTATGTGTCAGTGGTTGAAGAATTTAGATATACACTACATAATCAATAATGTTATGAGCAATTTACAACTTGATGCTTTCTGCCTGACCTTGACATTTTTTCCTGAAAAGTAATGGACTACTGAATTGTTTGTGTGGTCATGCAATTTCAAGGCCCGTGACAAAGACACTGAGAGCAGGAGACACTTGGTTTCTTTTCAATGATAGCATTCTATTCTTTGTCTTTTGATAAAGATGTGTTATTTAATGGTAGCTATATTGTTACAGAAGTTGTTAAAATTAAGATTAAATTCTGGGGCTTAATTTGTTAAAAACAAAGCATGATTGTGAAGCATGCCATAATGCAAGACTTTGAATTCATTTTGTCCACCTGGGGTTCAAAAGAACATGTGTATAGATTGTGTTTTTTAATCTGGTTCCCACGGAAGTGGAGCTGCCATGCTATGACCAGGAATTAATCATGCATCGTGCTTAGCTGTGCAACCTAAAACTAATAGCAAACATGACTGATAAATTGTAAAGAATGATAAAAGCTAAAATTAATTAGCAATTAGAAGTTGCAAATGCCAGGTCTACAGCTTTGTAAACAGCCAAAGTTAATGCACATGTAATAATAATTAAGAAGTATTCTTCAAGCTCTCAGACTGCTTTTATGCTTTGAAAATTGATCTGAGAAGAATATATATTCCACCAAATATTTTAGTTTTTGGCTCAAAGGGTGTCTGTAAATAGGGCTGTGATATTCCAAGACTTCTGGTTTTCCTGTAATGGTTTTCTCAGAAGGGCCTCTAGATGCTTTATACTCTATGCTGCTGTGTATCATGATGATAAAAGCACCAAAATGCACATGTAGGACTCTGAGGACTCAGTATCCCACTTGGAATGGGAGACTGTGCGTGTGCGAGTTATCAAGGCAGGGCCCCTGGAGGCCATCGTGGCCAACCTGGCAGATGACGAGGGGGGCCTTGAACCAACAAACGTCAATGTATTCCTGGCCACCTATCGCTCATTTTCTACCCCTCAGCAAGTGCTGGATGCTTTCCAGGCCAGGTATGCCACCTTTATTTATTTGATTCCTAAATTGAATGCCTGCCATCCATTTGCAGTTGTCAATCAGTAATTTGAACATTGTAGCTACAGTCAAAATGTACAAGTTATGAGAAGTCAGAAAAAATGTGTACATATAGAAATTTACTATAAAAGTAGTCTCTATTTGACAAATGATCCGAAAAATTCGTCACTACATTGTAGAAGTCCGATTAGTATATTTACCGGAACTGCAAATTGGGCTAGATGGTGAGGCTTCATTGGGGTATTTGTGTGACAAATGTAGACAGAACTGTAGACAGACTTTGTTTTGTCAGTGGTAATTTTAATTGTGCGGTAGAGAAAGAAATATGTGTGTGTACATGCAGTATTGATTAACTCTTTCTTTACCGTGCAAGAATGGTTGTTTTTCATATGTCTCGGGAAGACCGTTTTTGCCAGTTCAAAAAGTACTCTAGCACGTATTGCAGCATACCAAACTTTGCAGAATGAAATGCTTTTTCCAAAAAATATGTTTGAGAGCTACAAAAGTATTTTAAAATGAATAGAAATGGGAGTAGTACAAATTTTTTTTCACCAGCTGGTGAACAGAGGGATGAAAAACACTATATATGCAAAATATTCAAAACAAAGATAATTCAGAATATACATTTTGTAGATAAATTACCCAGGAACAGTATAAACATAATTAATGTTGTACAAAATGTTTCTCTTCACCTAGACAAAGAAAATCAGAACCGAGATGCTGCTTCATTGCTTGTGCCATGCAGTAAAGCATTGAATGGCTTTTCGTGAGACACAAGTGTACTCGTATACTCTTCTCAGTAAATTTTCGTTGCCTTGCGATTAGTCCCCAGGTATTTAAATATAGACGGATACCCGTGATGTGAATAATCCCTCTATAAATGAGATGTTCAATGAACTTCACTATTTTATCTAGCGTCACTTCTTTCCATCAACCACCTCACTCCGCATAGGTTTGCGTTCCAATATATGCATCCAAGCACATTTCTTTGCATATTTGCGCATATCGTAATAAAAAAGGACAATATCGAACGCAGTTCTAAAGTGTTTTGCACTGCTCCGTAGTAAGGGCTAAGACGTGCTCCAGTGGTCTTGTTGTTAGGAGAAGTGCTGCAGCCAGTGCCACTACACCGCGCCCTAGCGAAGTGTGGACCATGCACATAACCTGAGTAACTATAAGATTATGAACAAAAGTTAAAAGCTGCACGCACTTGTGGTGGAGGAGATAACTTGATGATGTAAACGAAACAAACCTATGAACGACTATGGATGTCTCAGGCTGACACTAAACATCGTCGCCATAAAACTTTAAGCTGAGGTGCTGTCACCCACAAAATCTCGGCTCGTTCTCACTCAATTCAGGTGGGGTCTCAAGACAGCTTCAAGCAGCACATATGTTTTGCAGCGCTGATGTGCACCCATGCGTGCATGACGACCGCGTAATAGGAGCGAATAGTGACACTAGATGAGACCCTGTGTCTGATATAACAATACAAGCAAAACCAAAGTGGCTGGAAACTGACTGTGAGAGCCACCTGCACACTTTATACATGAGGCAGACCTTGGGAAATAGCTTTTTGCAGAATTAATTTTCTCAGACTTCTACTAGCAACAGCTCTCTATTCATTAGCTGCCATTAATTTCTGACAATAATTACTGCTCAGCTTAGCCAAATTGCAAAGCTAACACGTCAATTTGATATTTGGCTTGTGAAGTTTCTTCAATTTTTCATTACAGAACTTCGATGTTAGTGTAGCATAATCACGAGGAGCACGCACTTCTGTCAAGTTCGCCAACTTATGCATTTTTTCAACTACACACGTACATTGGTTCACGCAAACGTCTGTAAAAAATCGCTATGTTGCCCTAGTCAGCAAATTCAAAAAAATTCTGATAGTTGAGCAGCTGAACTAACTACTAAAAAGTGCTGGGTGCAAGAGAAAGAAATTTAACATGTCAAAATCGATGGCCGAAAAGCGTCGATCACCGGTGATCAATTTGAATAGGCGTGTTAACGAAAGAGTTAAACTATCTTAAAACGCTTACTGCAAGTACAGTTGTGAAGTGCCTGCTTCGCCATAATTCATGCTTTTGCAAATTAGCAAGTTATCCACTAAACATCCATATTGCAATAGGTACATCAGCACCAATGCAATTGAACTGTTTGTTAACGATGATGTATGATTGCTCATTTCAGATAGCTTTGTAATGTGAGTACCTTTATACCGCTCACTCATTGTGCAATTTACCCTGTAATGAGCATGGTGCAGTGCTACACTTATGCCATGCACTAATAAATGTGTTAGTACAACTCCTCGCAATACATAGTTTTCATGCAACTTCACAGACAGGTTCTCAGTGCAGAGTACCTCTCCATAAGAGATTGTCAGTGCAGGGGAGAACACAAAGTTGTTCGGTCCCCACATTCTATCTTGTTCCTCCCGCTTTCTTCTGTTTGCCAGCCACGCTAAGGGGTAACAAGAAGCAATGCGAGGGGGCACTAATATGATGTTATAGTTACTTGCTCTGTGCATTCAAGAGAGTGTCTTGACCAGTTTGTACTCTATCTAAGCTGGCAACCACTGGGATTTTAACGAAAACTGTACACATGATACCTGTATAGGGTCTGCTAGAGACAGCTTATCGGCCACAAGCCGAGGGTCATGAATCCCGCTTCTTCATTAAAATGCAAGCTACAAAATCATCCTGTCATGTCTATCATCTGGGTTCTGAATGCTTTTTTTCTTCATCTAGGCTTGGGGCATATACCGTACTCTGCCCCAGACTTGTGACTGCTTGAAGTGGTGTATACCGCACATGTTGTAGGTGTGGGACAATATCAAATGAGTCTACCCATGCAAATGGCATGGCAAAACAAAATTTTGTCTCCCGTAGTTGAGTTTGGGTCGAAGGGTAGAAGTGAATGATCATAGATTAGGAGACCAAGAATAGGACACTAAATGCTAATATTAAGTCGACGTTAATTGTTGAAATAGGGGTCAAGAAACCTTTTAGTGCTACATTTGTGTGTGATGGCAAGTTTTTCATTGCGTCATAAAAAAAAAAACTGGGTCACGATTGCTTGTCACTTCTTTGAGGCTTCCACTTTGAAATTGACTGATGCAGTTTCTGTAGGAGATGGCTTATAAGACCTTTTACCTGTAAATTCTCTCCTCTACCAACATTTGAAAATTACCACAGAACTACATGCCAACCATTCACTGTCCTGATTGTCAATCGTTGATACATTTAACTTGTGTTGTGATCTAACTTGCAGCTTCAGAGTGTGCTTGTTGAGAAATTTTTGCATCAGGCCTGTTGTTGATGCAAGAACTCCCACCATTCTGGAAATGTGTATTGCCTGTTTGTGTGCACTTATCAACATTGTGCCAGCTGATGTTTCAGTGCTTGACCATTGATACCAACCTGTCATCTCAGTGGAATTCAATAGAATTCATCAAAAGCACACATAGCATAATTTCTGGCATGATTTTTTCACAAGGGCTTCTTTGGTATGAATTTGTTTCAATTTTCTTTCTTCTTTCTTATTTTTAGTGGTAGCAAAAGAGTTGAAATAAAGCTGTGCAAATAGCAAATTATGAGTGCAAAGCAAATTTTAATATTGAAGTCTGAGTTCGAAGTGAATTGAATATTTTTTATTATTTTTCTGTATATGTTTCATATTCTTCAAAGCAAAATTACACAAAGAGTTGTAGAAAATCTCTTAAGCAAATTCTCATGAGATGTCAACATGAAAATGTTTCTTTTGGCTAGGTTGGTGAAGTGCTAGGCTAGGGTTCTGTGAATAGTGAATTTAAAGTTCAAAGTGAATTTGAAGTGAATAGTGATTTTGGTAGAATAATTTGGAATTAAATTTGAATAGTATATGTATCGCATATTATAGAAAAATTGGGCATATTTATGGTAACAAAATCAACCTGCACAATATATTTTGTTTTAATTGAAGCTAGGCTTGTGGAAATACTATATTTTTGCTTCAAAAGAAGTGTATCGTAGTTCGAATAGTAGCAGGATTTGACTTCAAGTATAATGGAAGTGATAAACTCTAAAATGTATTACATTTTAATAGTGTACTTATAGCATGTGAGCCAGTATAATAAGCTCTTAAACTTCAAAAATAAGTCGATGTGAAGGTAATATCTTCATTTAATCTTGAAGTCCTCATTTCGTGGCAGTGCAGATTTCTTCTGAATACATGTTTTCACGGCTTGGCACTCTTTTATTGGAGTGAAATGACCTTTACAAGGAGTTACATGCGAACTAATATACATTTAAATAACTGCCTTCACTGCTTTGCACTACTTTCTTGCAGTGAAACCAGCTTTACAGAGGCTTATATGCAGACTAATATACAATTATTTGTTCTGTTTGAATATTTCCAAGTTCCCAATAATTAAAATTTAAATTGAAGCGAATTAAAATAGTATAATATTCATTCAAATATTTGTACAAACCTATACTGGAGGGGTGGTGTTTTCCAGTTGTTTTATGGAGAATGAGGCCCAGCAGAGGCTGAACTGTATTTAGTTACATGACTTGGGGCAACCAATGTGGTGCCGACAACACTTTAGACGTGAGAAGAAAATAATTTATTTCCTCAGTCTCGGCTTCTCTATCGATTTCTGTGGAGCACCAGCTCATGTGACTAACAAGGCTGCACTCCCTTATAGTTCAGAGCTCCTAATATTTGGTAGTTTCAAGCGAATTCGGATCAATTCAGGCTTCTACTCAAAGCAGAAAAAAGACAGAGTTGCCGCTCGAGCAAAGGCACACAGTAGTATGTTCCACAATAGAACTGGCTGCAAATATTGAGAATTTTAGCACTGCTGATCACTCTGTGTAAGCACTGCACCTGTTTCAAATGTTTTTTGTTGGATTTTCTCGCAACTTAAATTTCTGGTATTTTTCGTTATGTGAACAGCCATAACTTTTTTTTCGCTAATAAACAACTTTCATTG